ATTTCAAGCTTGGAAAGAAGACCTTGATGCAAGAAGCTTGAAGATCAACAAGTTGGAGGCAAGAATGTTTGTGGGTCTGAAGTCTATCTCAGCTAGCTTCATTTGAGGTATCAATTCATGATCTTGGCCTCATTCCTTTCTAGATCTCTTTGGATGAAGTTAGGCTTCTTGTCTTGGTTATGAAGCTATTCTTGGGTATTAGCTCAGATCTGAAGTTGTAACTTCAGATCTGAACTCTCTTTGATTTATAAGTCCATAAAGCTATCAGCTTTGGCGATCATGAACCCCTCCTTAAGTGTAAAACCCCATTTCAAGCTTGGTTTTGGCATTTTGAGTCGTTAGAGCCTTGCATGCACGTAAAGTTTGCAACTTTACGTGATAAGCATGCCTTGGGAGCTTGGATATTTAGTATGGAGCCTTGGAATGGCTTAAAAAGCATCTGTATGGATGAACGACTGAAGGGACCAGGCAAGTCGCATGGTAGACTCAGCGAGTCATATGAAGATGGTCATGAACTCGACGAGTTGGATGAACAACTCGGCGAGTCTGATGAAGATTGCCTTGGAGTTGGCGAGTGGCATGTTGACTCGGCGAGTTGGCAAGTTATGTAAGGAACTCGGCGAGTAGTTGAGGGTACTCGATGAGTTGAGGTCAACATGGACTGTTGACCTTGACAGTTGAATTTGATCTCGAACCAAGGGTTGACCAGTTTGACTTTTGAGAGTAATTAGTAAGCAGATATTTATGAATTGGATCATTGATGGTTATAGGTGTTGGAGTTTGGGGCAGTGTTTCGGGAGCATGGTTTCGTGGTTCCATTCGGCATTGCAAGGTGAGTTATCCTCACTATACTCAAGGGTCTAAGGCACCAAGGCCGGCCCTTTGATTTGTTATTTGAGATAGTTTATGTTGTGATATGTTAGCTCGGCATCCTGGTAGATAGGATGGTTATTCACTAGTATGATCTGTTAGATCGGTATCCTGATAGATCGGATGTGGTTATGCTTAGTGACCTATAGTTGGTCTAACTGTCTGCATGCTAGTTGTTATGCCAATAGGTAGATCTGTAGGACTACCTGTAGTATGATGTGATTATCTGTATGCGTATTAGTTGTGTTATATGTCGATATATTATGTGGGATGGGTTGAGGTGAAATTGCTCCATGCGGTAACCAACAAACCTGGGAGCATTGCATATATGAGCTAAGCGAGACTCGTACTGTGGGCTCGGGAGCATTCCATATACGAGCTGAGGGAGACTCGTATTGTGGCTCGATGGCAATCCAGATGTGAGCTGTGGGCCCGGAAAGCAATCCTGACTCTCACTGTGGGGCCAGGGGTAATCCAGTCTGTAAAATTGTGGATCCAGTACATGTTGATTATTTTAATATGTGTTACGGTATGTTGGCATTCCAACCCGATGGTTGAGGGCCAGGGGTATTCCAACTCGATGGTTGACTGGACCCATAGTATGCTATTCATTACTGTATGTGTATGGTTGTGTGAATGGGTATTTTGGGGGTAACTCACTAAACTTTCGGGCTTATAGTTTCAGTTTATTGTTTCAGGTTCATCAGATGACCGCAGGAAGGCGAAGGCGTGACCGTACACTTCCTCGATTGATGATTATGATTTCTGGGAACTCTGATGTATAAATTATTTTGAAAACTAATTGTAATAAGTGAATGGTTTTAAATGCTTTAAAAAGTTTTAAATTGGCTCGAATTTTATGGATGTTACACTGTTACAAATGGACTATAACAATATAATACAAAATTGACACAACACAATATAACCCCAACATTCCCCACACCTCCGAACAAAATGGTTTTGTAGAACATCAACATTGTCTCGTTATTGAAAAGGGCTTATCTCTTCTTGCTCAATCCATTCTTCCACAAGAATAATGGGAACACGCATTCAAAACTGCAACCTATATTCACAATCATACTATAACACTTAAACTAAAATACCAATCTCCCTGTTATATCCTCTACAACAAGACAACCGACTATGCATTCATGTGCACATTTGGGTGCCTTGATATCCTTTCTTACATCCCCATCAAACTCATAAGATGGATTTTGGGTCTCTCCCTTGCATCTTCTTGGTCTATAGCGCCTCTCACAAAGGTTACCTATGTCTTCATCGTCCTACATCCTGTATTTATATCTCCTTCCATGTTGTCTTCAATGAAGATGTGTATCCTTTTGCAACTCATCCAAATCAATCTTCCATCTCCTTACCTACCAGCTCTCCCTCACCATTTTCAACATGCCTTCTTGTTCATGTGTATTGTCTATATATCCCTACCAACTACAATAATTCCTCTACTGAGACTTCTTATAGTACATCCCCATCTACAACCCCCATATCTTCACCACCTTCATGTCCACTACATCAGGGTCCCACCATCAGTTCTCATGCAAAACAATCTTCTATGTGTTTTCTATGCCCAGTTCTTCATACTCAACATAAAATTATCACTCGTGCCAAACGAATTCTCTAAAACCCAAGACCTTCATAAACTTCACTGACTCACCACCAGTTATCAAACCTAAACACATCCCTCAAGCACTTAAAAATCCATATTGATTGAATGCAATGACACATGAATTTAATTCTTTAATGAGAAATAAGACTTGGACACTTGTCCCCCATCCCACTAACACTAATGTTGTTGGAAGCAAGTGGATTTTAAGAATCAAGAGACATTCTGATGGCGCCATCGAACGCTACAAATCCCAACTAGTTGCTAAAGGGTTTATTAAAGAAGAAGGCGTTGACTTTTTTGAAACTTTCAGTCCTGTTATTAAACCAAAAACCATTATATTGGTTATATCTATTGCTCTCTCTCAAGGTTAGACGATATGATAATTGGATATAAACAATTCCTTTTTAAATCATGTACTATCAGAGGAAGTATACATGGATCAACCTCGTGGCTTCGAAGGTCCTTCTTGTCCATATGTTGTTTGCAAATTACACGAGACCATCTATGGCTTAAAACAAGCTCCTAGGGCCTGGTGCAACCAACTAAAACAACATCTGATCAAACATGGTTTGCGCCTGCCATTTGGACACATCTCTATTTGTTCACTCACCATCTATTGCCACAATCCACATTTTAGTCTATGTTGATGATCTAATAATAACAGGCACAAATCCACATATCATTCACAAGCTTATTCAACAACTACATCAAACTTTTGCACTCAAAGATCAGGGTACTCTCACTTATTTTCTTGGTGTACAGATTCTCAAGTCAGCTGAAGGTTTACAACTTTCCCAGCAGAAATACATTCAAGATCTATTCATAAAAAATAAAATGCTTGAATCCAAGCTTGTATCAACACCAGCTGATCCATCGGTTCCACTCATGACTTGTGGTGATCCATTTCCTGATCCAAAACTCTACAGACAAACAGTTGGGTCTCTTCAATATGCCACAATTACTAGATCGGACATCACTTATAAAGTCAACCGAGTTTTCCAGTTCATGCATTCTCCCACTATTATCCATTGGCAAGCTATTAAGCATATTTTACGGTATCTAAATGGAACCTTACACCACTATCTTCATTTCAAACCACACACTGCCACCTCCCTCTTAGCTTGCTTAGATTCACGTTGGATGTTCGACAAAGGCGACAGCAGATCTCAATATGGCTTTGCCATATTTCATGGTCCAAATCTAATTAGTTGGTCTTATCGTAAGCAAAAAGTTGTAGCTTGATCCAATACAGAGGATGAATATCGTGCCCTTGCGTACACCACTGCTGAGTTATTATGGATTCAACATCTTCTTCATGACCGTCATGTTCATCTTCCAAAACCATCTATACTCTGTGACAATGTTGGTGCCACTTTCATGTGCAAAAATCCAGTTATTAGCATACGCTCCAAACACATTGCTCTTGACTTTCACTTTGTCAGAGAACAAGTTGATGCTGGTGCCCTTCAAATCTGTTAAGTGTCCTCTCTGGATCAGTTGGCTGACATTTTTACTAAACCATTGGGAAAAGATCGAGTTTCTTAGTTAAGGTCCAAGCTTCAAGTTCAACCTTCACTTGAGCTTGTAGGGCGGTGATAACAGCTAATAAATAAATCATTAATTTCATGTGAATTGGTCTTTATAACTTGGTTAAATAGTCCTAGTCTTTAGCCTTTGTTATGTACATGCATATAGTTCCTAATTATGTTGATTATGTGGAGATAGGGTTAAGTAGATCCATATCTATTTGCATATAAAAACATGTAAACAGATTGAATACATACAGAGAAATTCAATTTGTATTCTTGATTAGTGATAAAAACATACAAAAGTAATTATCATAGCACCAAAACTTGTATTTTAATTATAATTTGACACCCCATCAGGAGACTTTAACTTAATGAATATTTAACCCAAAAAGGTGAAACTATAGCCTATAGCCTAAAACACAGTAAAAACACTAAACTACATTTTGGGATAGATATATGTCAATTCAACTTCAACGAATGAGTTGTGATATTTTAAAGTTTTTCAAAGATTGTCTTTTAAACTTCCGGTCTACAACTGTTACCTGGAATCAGTATTGTAGCTTAGCAAGAACCAATAACCGGCTTGATTCATATAAACAGGTACCGGTGTTGATCCGGATCCCGGTCCAACACAATGCATAGGGTTCAAGGAGGCTACAGATTGCATAAGAATTTGATTGATGCACACTTTTGCTTTTCACATGTATTATTAATTGTTACATTTGAGAAGGAATATACAACTTCCTAGATTAACACGTCCCAAGATAAATGCAACACGTGACTTGACATACAATTTAATAAAGATTATTTAAGATTAAAACCTTAGCACCCGAAAGTTGAGTTCTTGAAATAAGCTTCTAGCCAACAACAAAAACTATAAAAAGAGGTGAAAAAAAAATCATTGTACATAAGTCTTCACCCTCCATTGATGATCCCTAAAAAAACTCCATTTGCATCTCCACTTTCTTGTACTTTTTGAAATGAATCCAACAACACCTCAAATGGTGGAGTATTGAGTTCTTCTGTGTTTATCTTGCTAGGTAATTTACAGAATTTTGGTGTTGAGAAAAAAGAATCATCCACCTGTTTGTTGCAAAAACAACTTAGAATATTTTTCTACAAAGTAAAATAAAAACAGCATTTTTTTTCCTTAATATTTTCCTATACCATGTATTCATTTATCAAGCACTTTTCGGTATCTTTTGTGATCTCAATTATTTTGGAAGAGTGAGCAACTTCCATATCTTTCATAGCATCACGAGAATTTCTTGTTAAGGAATCAATCCCCTCATTTTCTTCCTCGTTAAGCTTCAAAAAATCTGCACAAAGTCAACATAAAAATATTAAAACATAATATAATTATCAGTTAAATCAAGAAATACTTAAAAAAGTTTTATCATATTACAAATTACATAAATAGAAATGGCTTACATTCAGTGGATGTGAGAGATTGACTGTGTACTTCTTCTAGTGTCGTGGAGCCCACAGATGACAATCGATTATGGATTGCTTGATTTGTTTCAAGAGCATCCCTGAATTAGGAAATCATCCAAATCATAAAAATTAAACAAATAAATAAATAAAACACTCTTTTCTAATAAAAATTGAAAGTCGAAGTAACTTTTTTTTTTTACATAAACTTACTTGATTTTGGAATCAAAAGATTCTAAATGCAATTTCTGTAGACTGTTAATAGATTCTTGAACTTGGCTCCACCCTTCGTTACCCATTTTTGCCTTTGTTGTCCTTTTCATTTTCAAGTAAAACATCATTAATGCATACTTTTAAAATCAGGAAATAGCAATGTGCTTTCATTTTCTTCCTACTTTGAAAAATATACCCAAATATTTTATAAATATTTTACCAGTTTTTGAATATGGATATGACACCATCTTTTCCATTTTGAGTTGTGGTTTTATCCTCAATGTAATTCTTTTCTGTTTTTCCCAAAAAACTTGCATATTCATCGTCTGTTGATGATGTGAGACTATGAATATTTGACATTTTGCCATGAAGTGTGTAGGTTTTACTCCCAATATAGCTTCGAATTCCATCCACTTCTGTTTGAACCTATAAAAAAATCAACATTCTTTAATAAGCACATTACAATAAATAAATAAATAAAATCAACACTTTACTTTTTCCAATCAAAGGGATCAAGAGATATCATAATTAGTTAATTACCATCTGTTTCTTCTTGTCATTTGAACTTGTTAAAAGCTCTGCCATTTTGTCTAAAAGTTGCTTGTTTTCATCATCGGCATATTCCTAAAAAGGTAATTTTTTAAGATGATTATAAAATGATTGTAGTTAAAGATGAAAAGGGAGTTGTTGATATAATGGATGATACAAAAAAACCTCATATTTCTTGCTGAATTCATCTAATTTCTGATCATACATCCCTTTAGCTTCTTCCAACATTTGAATCACACTGAAAATGTCTGTGCTTAGAGTCTTGAAGAACTTCACTGTAATACTAGATGCAGATTGAGTTGTCTGATAAGCTCGCAATTGACTCTGGTTATACAGAAAAATCACAAAAAAGGTTAAATTCATACTCTTATTTGTCATGGTCAGGGGTATTTCAGACATTTGACTAATATCTATTTATGTACCTCATGCTGTTTTTGCCAAATTGCAGCTATAGTTTGCTCCTGATCATCAAGGTTACCATGCAAATCATCAAGTATATCACCAACTTTGACCGAAGCTTCTCTTATTAGCTAAAAAGCACCATAAATATTGTGAACATCAAATCAAGTTTTTGAATAAAAATCGTAAGTGAACAAGATTTAGTTTACTCACTTCTGCTAGGGCTGAAGAATGCTTCACGACTTCAGAATTTATATTTCCAAGTGTTGTCTCTGAATTACCACTGAATTCAGTCGCTAATTCAACTAAGGATTTGATTCCACCAGCAAATACGTCATTAATCTTTTCTACCCGAATTTGAAGTCCTTCAGCAGCCTATTCATTACATCGTTACATTTTCACAGCTGAATGCACACCAACTGTTCGATGAAATGCCGAAACGAGATTTAACTTACCGAATTGTGTTCAGAAACAAAAGATTTCATATGTTCTTCGATTGCATTTAGTTGTTGCTCTTGATGCGTTACTGAATCAACAATCGTCTTGTGAAGAACTTCAAGATGTTGAGCTAAAAGCTTCTGAAAGCTCTTGATCACCGCTTTATTTCCTTCTTCTATGTGGTTTTTGTGCTCTATATAACACGTAAAATACAATATTGTTACAATTTTTTATATATCAAACTGTAAGAAAAGGCTCTGTTTTTCAAACGAAAGATACAAACCAATTTTCGCGAACAAGCTTGATACCTCTGATGTTGCATTCTCAAGCTCACTATGAAGCTCAACTGCTCTTTCAGTGAGTGTTTTCTCTAAACATTACTAAAAATTGTTAGAAAATGCAACTTTTTTGTAAGTGAATATCACTTTAAATTTACTCACCTGATCCAAGAAGATTAAGTATAAAATATTCCTTTTCTTTTGTCGTTTCATTCGCTTGTTTCAGTTTATCTTTTAGATCCGAGATATCTTGCTTACTTTGCTTGAGTTCTCTCTGAAGTTGTTAAAAAAAAACAAATCATACTTAAATTGTAATTAAAATAAAATGAACCATTTTTGGAATCTAATCTAACCTCGGTGTTCTCAAGTTTTTGACTTAGTTCTGAAGTCAAATTTTGCTGATGAATTAAGAGTTCTTGAAGATCTATGAGTTCCTATTAAAAACAATCAATTTCTCAGTGTTTGATAGTATAACGAGAGGCGATGTATAATATTTAAAAATAGATATTTTACCTTACTTTTTAACTCTAACTTCTCGGATGTTGCCTACAAAAAATTGATTACGGAAATTTAATTATCCATGATTTTGATTTTGATACTATTTTTATTACTTAAAGGGTATTTTGGACATTTGAGTACTAATCAGAAACTTTAATCAACTTAATGTGGAGTCACACAATGCTACACTTTCATTAAATTACGCGTTAAGTAACACATGCGATTTTCATGAGATTGAATAAGAAAATAAGAAAAAAAATAATAATATAGAAGTAAACCTTCTTGGCAGCTTCTTCACTCATGTAACGTTCATGTGGTATGTAAATTCCGTTTTTCTCCCTTGTAGCATGTAATTCTAATGACACAAAGAAAAAAAAAAAGTTACGTATTTTTTAATTCTCAATAACCACAAAAAAATTATATAATTTTTTTTACCTTGTTTAAGACTTTTTATTTCCGTGTATAATTCTTTAACATCCGCTGATTTTGTCACCTTATGGTTAACCTGATTCCAAATTAAAAAATTAAACTTTTTTCATAATGTACGTTGCTATTTTCCAAATTTGCCCTTCTAGAAAAGAACACACTAACCTCTGGTCTATTCTTGATGCTTTTAGCCTTGTACGCATAATCTAAAGTGTTTTGTGTTTCTTCCAAAGAGTGAATAGAAGAGGACACAGTAGCTATTATGCATGTCTTTGTTTTCCCTCCTAAAGAATCTCTCAACAACCTCGTTAATTTACTATCCCTGATATTTTCAACCATCATATTATTAATTTATTATTCACCACAAATTCAATAAAATCACTTTATATTTTTAATGTTTTTTGTAACAAATTATTATTACCTATAAGGAACATGTCCAGAGTGATCAACCAATGCATTTATAACACGACCAAGTGTAAGCAAGCTTTTGTTTATCTCACCAGCTTCCCTTGCTCTTCCCTGTCATAAACATAAAAAGTCAACATTTTGACTTTGACCGGAAAAAGTCAAACTTTATTTTTTGTGGAGTTATTGTGTATGTACCTCACGCGCACCAGAACGTAATATGTTTTCTGATCCAGCAAGATCAACTAGATTTAGCTTTCCGCATTTGATTACTTCTTCCCCAATTGAACTAATTTCCTTAATTTGAATTGTGATTGTGAACAAAGAATGTGAACGATTGCTTTGTGTGTTTATAAGAGTGTCAGCTTTGTGTTTTCTAGCTGACCCTTTTTGTAAAATTTGGTGTATTTCATCTGCACTCTTTACAAGTTCTTCTTCTAAGCCTCTCATAAAAACTGCTCCTTTTCCATCTTCCATTAAAGATATGTGTTTCTTTAACTTTTCATCTGTAGCCAAAAGATCTGTTATTTCCTCATTGTAAAGCTCAATGTATGTCACTTTCATTGAATATTCTGCTTTTTGAGCTTCAAGAGTGTCGAAAAGTTGCTCAACAGCTCTTGGAATAACTCCAACATCTTCATGAAACTCTCCATTCTGCACATAAACAGGAAAACAATTTAGTTCTTATGCTATGGTTTGACCATTCAAGATTTGACTTCAAAAGTCAAAAGTTTTGACCTTGGATTTTCCTCCTTCGCCTTCCATTGTGTAAGTCTTTCCTGTTCCAGTTTGACCATATGCAAAAATGGTCCAATTATAGCCTTCAAGAGCTTCTTTAACAATAGGATCAACAACTTGATCATATAAATCCTTTTGTTTTGAAGATGGACCAAACACCTATATAGAAAAAGGAGATCTTTTATCAAGAAACAAAAATGGAATTCGATATAAAACTATAAATAAACACCAATTAAGAAACAAACAAACCTTATCAAAACCAAAGATTTTATCTGTCTGCTTATTACCAATGTTTTGGGTAACAATAACTTCTTGTTTATCTTCATTACAAGTAACCACCATTGGTGTTTTTGCCCTTACATCGTCATCACTAAATGGCCTGAAAAGTGAAAAACACACATTAACAAAGAAATTAACCTTGATAAACAGAAAGAATTTCAGTTTATGTTAATTATAAGTTAAAAATACAGAAAAAGATGCTTGACACAAACCTGCAACGAAGGATAACTTGAACGTTGACACCTTTATCATCCTTGATACACGTGGTGCCATTTTCACTTGACCATAGCATCTGCGTTGGTGAAAGAGGGATTAAACTCCCTCTTCTCTGTTGATGCAGCTTCGTATTATCCATATATGAAGCCCGATTAGCAACTCGTTGCCTGAAAATTCATAAAAAAGCGAAATTTATGAGCGCAGAGCATGTCAAAAAACTGGAATCGAGTATAGCTACATGATTACCATATTAAAATTACGAATTAGAAACATGTTTGGAGTAAAAAATTAACGAATTACTAATAATTTCTGGAAAAGGCATATTTACAAACATGTGGGGAACGTACATGATTGCTTGATTAGTGGTATAGTGATTAAATTAGATTGATACAGTGATCCCCTGATCAATAATTACAAAATTTTCAACGAAAAAACAGTGAAAAAGTGATGAAGAAAGTCGGTAAACAACCACAGCCGGCTGATTAGAGACAAGTCAAGGAGTCAACAAACGATCGGCGATGAATACTACCTTTTTCTCGAGAAAAACAAAATGGTAATTTTGTATTCTTGTGCGTGTGTTAGAGAGAGGATTACAAAATTGAAAAGCTACAGAGAGCTGTGAGCTATGGCGTTACGAAGAACATGTACAAAGAAGTTTTACTTGAAGGATGATTAATGAGCGTTTAGCAACTTTTGACTGTTAGCATTTGAAGCATTTATAGTTTCCTTTTTAAATTTCCGTCATACATGTCTTAATATTTTTTTCAATTAAATTTGAATTTAAATATTACATTGAAAGATACTACTAACAGTTTTAAATTTTGTATTGTTCCTACAAAATAAAGGGTTAGATGATGCAAATGCAATAATGCCTTGTTATAATATGGATCAATACAAAGGTGCTCTTGAAGTGGAGGTGTGCTGTCCCTATTGGGTGGGTTGGTGGGCCTTGGATATAATTTTTATTCAGAATAATATATTTTAGTTTCCATTTATTTTGGGATTAAATATTTGAGGATTTTTAGATGACTATTACTTATAGGAAATTATTCAAAATGGGCAACTAATAACATAAAATTTATCTATTAGATCATTAAAGTTTTAATTGCATCCATCAAACTATTTTTTTTCGTTTTATTATAAAATTGATATCGGTGATATTGGGTTATAATAGAACCGAAAAAAACAATGTTGGTCAATACATTTATTATATAAGTTTAGTGATTTAAAAAAACAAATAAAATTGTTGGTCAACTGGAAAAAAAAATGTTGGTCAACTGAATATAATTATATAACTTTAGTGACTTAAAAAGCAAATAAAATGTTATTGGTTGCTATTTATGACATTTTCATTGAAAATATTAGAAAACTTTTACACACCATTTATATATCCAAAATCTTCGATTTTATCTCAACTTATTTGTTTTAAAAATATTCAAACCACCTATAAGACAATGAAGATCTTTTTCAACAAGAATTTTTTATTTTCTTCTAACTTTATTGTTAAACTGATATAATTATTTCTAAGACTTAACAATTTATGCATTATATATTCAAAGATATTAAAAATTATTTTGTTTATTACATTATTTCTTTTCACAAACAATTCACTACATATAAATTGTTAATACTTAGAAATGGTTATATGGGTTTAACAATGAAGTTAGAAGAAAATGAAAAATCCTCGTTGAAAAAAATATTAATTGTCTTATGGCTGATCTAAATATTTTTAAGACAAGTAAATTGTATCAAAATCAAAGATTTCGAATATATATATATATATATATATATATATATATATATATATATATATATATATATATATATATATTAATGATGCTTAAAAGTTTTCTAATATTTTCTATGGAAATAAAATAAACTGACAACCAATAACATTTTATTTGTTTTTTAAATCACCAAACTTATATGATCTAATTGACCAAGAGACATTTCTTTTTTATTCTAATATATGATTGATTACGTGGACACAACATGTGACGTGGACTCCACGTGGGTTGGTAATCGACTATCACTAGTATTAATGGTATAATAAAACAAAAAAAAAGGTTTATTGTTCAATTTGGTGCAATTAAAACTTTAGTGGCCTAATGTATAAATTTTGTGTTATTGGTTGTCATTTTGAAACATTTTACCTACTTATTAGTACTTTTTATGTGAATAAAATTATGTAATTATTGTTAGATTAGGTGTATAAGCCAATAACTAAATTGGTATATACTTGAATTAAATGCAAAGTCATTTTGAGTTGTCCTCAAACCTAGTAATTGAATAGGATGACTTCTAGAGAGAGAGACCGATTTATTGATCTATTATATGATTAATAAACAGAAATAAATGATTTATTAATATATTGTGAGAATAATATATTAATTATAAATAGTATTATTTAGTTAAAAATTAATCATAAATTGATTAGGATTAATTTTAGGATTGATTAGATTAATTAAAACTACAAGGACATAAGCTGTAATTGTTTAATAATTGGTCAAAAGGGGTTCCAGAACCTTCCTAAGGTGGTGGATGGTTTTGTGGTGTATTTTAGGATTTCTAGAATATCACTGAAGATAATTAAGAGATTGGATAATTACTTAATTTGAAATAATAGTATTATATTCAAATTAGAGTTTTCGGTGTTTCATAATGCAACTATAAATAGGGTCTTAACCCTTTTTCGGCCGCTCATTCCTTTAGAAGGACAACCGAAATCATCCCTTGTCTTCTCTCTCCAAGTCTTTTTAGTTTCTAGGGTTTGCGTGTGAACCATCAGATGTACGAGATTTCTAGTGCTTGCTTCCAAGAGCTTTTGAAGAAGGATTTCATTGGTTATTTACAAGAATAATCAAAATGTATGTAAACCCTAACTTATTTATGATTTTTGCAAATACTAGGGTTTCCATATGGTTTTTGATATTCATAGATTATAGCATTCAATAGTGAAAACATAAATTCAATTCTATTGCATGTGAGCTTAAGAGTTAAGTTATTTTTCGTCACATGATTTTTGTAACCTATATATATATATATATATATATATATATATATATATATATATATATATATATATATATATATATATTAGTAGAAATAACTTAGTCGGCTGTTAATAACTATGAAATAATAATTTTAATACTAATTTACATAGTTGATATTAAACATTATCATACATTTTATCATATCTCGTTTCTCTATTGTATTTATCAAGACAAACTTAAATCCTCTTTTATGTTTTCTTGATATTGTTGTCTGATGCTTCATTTTCGGTATTTTGCTCTCTCAAGTTGTTTTTGCTCATGAATTTCTTACACGTGAAAACATGTTCATGTGCAATCTTTGCAACACACCTATAAACATAAAACCTAAATTGTCATATGATTGTAAACATTTCTCTGATTTGGCTCCATATTGTAGTTTTGTTGTCCAATTGTTTTTTTTTTTACTCATTTTGAAATTGCTTCTTTTGTTTATCAAGTTTTCTAATACATGCATAATCCTCAAAACCCCATGTTTTTTAATAACGACAAATAATTATTTTGTCTCCTCTCCTTGGGATTGAACATAAGATCCCCTAGTTAGCTGTTAGTATAGAACATTCATGTCAGCCAAGTGAGCTAGCCCCAACTTGTTCAGGACCCCATGTGAATATGGTAAAACACATATTTCATTATATTTAACATTTTATGCAATAATTTGTGTAACATCCCGGAATTTAGAAGTAAAGTTGAAGGACTAAAAGTGGAAATAAGAAGGTCGGACTCGGCGAGTCTATGGATAGACTTGGCGAGTCGAGTCGCGTTCAGGTCGCGTGATAAGTGACCAACTCGGCGAGTCTCATGGGTGGACTCGGCGAGTTGCTGCAGTATGGAGAAAATCCTAATCCTGGGGGTTGAGCCCTATATAATGAACACAATACCCTCTCCTCAGCCTCTTTACTCTCCCTTGAAGTCCAGAAACCCTAACTTTCGGTTGTGAGAGAGTTGGAGAGCATATAGAGTCTTGGAGGGGAAGTGAAGAACAAGAAGGTTGGAGCAAGGGGATTTGCAGAGATATAGCTTATTCTTCAGTTGGAGCTTTCATTTAAGGTACTAATCTGTTGTTTGAGCTTTTGTGCATCTAGATCTATCAATTGTGGGCTTTTTGTGGTATGAATGAGGTCCATCTCAAGTTTGGTGTAAGATCTGAGGTTGCTACCTCAAATCTAGGTTGTTAATGATCCAGAAAGCCATAAAGTCTATGCTCAAGAGTTGTTGGTGAAGTTCTTTTGTCCCAAACCCTAGCCCTAGAGTATATAATGCTTAGATCTCTTTGGATTCACGTAAATTTTGCAACTTTACGTGAGGAATAGCTTGTGGAAGAGTAGATCTATGGATTGGAACCCCTGCATGGCTTGGAAAGCCTCTGTATGGGTTAAGAGCTAGTGGTACTCGGTGAGTCACATGGGTGTACTCGGCGAGTTGCTTGAAGATGGGAAGAAACTCGGTGAGTTGGAAGAACAACTCGGCGAGTTGGTTGAAGATAGCCTTGGACTCGGCGAGTCTGGTCTTGAGGTCCTAGCCTTTTCTGGTTAAGCTGAGAATCGGTGAGTCAAGGGATGACTCAGTGAGTTGAGATGAGATTTTTCAGAGTTGAGGGACTCGGCGAGTCAGCGGGCTGAGTCGGCGAGTAGGGTCAGTCATGAAGTTTGACTTTGACTGAGGACTTTGACTTTGACCAAGAGTTGACCAGTTGACTTCCAAGGGCATTTTGGTAATTTTTGGTATTTATTGGGTTCATTCTTTTGGTATTATCAGGGGTGGAGTTCGTGTCGGAGGTTGGAGCAACGTGATCTTATCTTTTCAGTCAGCAGTTGCAAGGTGAGTTATCCTCACTATATCAATAGGGTCTAAGGCACCAAGGCCGGCCCTTTATCGGATTGTAATCCGGGTATCGTTGTTATGTTGTTGCTTTGCTATGTTTGCATCCTGGTAGTTAGGATGGTATATGTTAGAGACCCGGTTAAGGTCGGCATCCTGGTATATAGGATGATGCTATGTTAGTGACCAGTTAGGTCGGTATCCTGATCAGAGTAAGTTATGTTATGTGATCTGCTAGATCGGTTTGATTGGATGTGAATTGTTATATGATTGTATGTTTATGTGCACATGGTTGTTTGACTGGGTTTAGGTTGAGGCGGGTCCTGCTTTGTAATGTAGGCCAACATACCCAGGGCGGACCGGTTATCCCGAAGGCCCAGCGAGCGGTCCGGATAGGCTGTAGGCCCCACGAGGGCATACCAGACGTGCCGAGGCTGGGAGAGTGGACCAGGCCGACTGAAGGCCCGATGCGGGCGGACCAGTCATACTGTAGACTCAAAGAGTGGACCAGGAGGGTTGAAGGTCCGGTGCGGGCGGACCAACCACACTGCAGACTCAAGGGACATGGCTAGACTCGGAGGGTGGACCAGGTGGACTGAAGGCCCGGTGCGGCGGACCAGTCACACAGTAGACCCGAAATGCATGGTTGTTCTGTTCGGTTATGATATGTCATGCGTGGAATATGTGGTTGGTATTTTGGGGGTATCTCAATAAGCTTTCGGGCTTACAGTTGTGGTTTAATATTTTTCAGGTACTTCAGGAGACTGTGGCAAGGCGAAGGCGTGATCGTACCGCTCCTCATGTTTATGTTTTATGTTATGGTTCTTGGAATACTC